TTTTTCTTTTAAAAATCGATCTGAGACCTAAAATTAATAAAAATGCAAGATAATTTTTAGAAGCAAAATTTTAAATTGAAAATTTCAAAAATTATAATTTTTGTTTGTAATTTTTCCATTACTTTTCTTAAAATTCCCTGACCTTTCCATGATTTACCTGATCCGTGTCAACCTTGAAATTACAAGTTTAAAAAATCAAGAAATAATATCAAGAAAAGTTTCAAAATTCTCATAAAAATTAAAATTTGTAAAGTTTTGTCATACAGTGGAACCTCGATTATCCGAACTAATCTAGGCAAGGCCGGGTTCGGATAATCGAAAATTCGGATAATAGAGATTTTAATTTTTTTTTTTTATAATTAAAGTAAAAAAATGTACAGTTGAACTATATATTTAACTTAATACATATGTTTTTAAATATACATAAGTACACGGAAAAAAAGAAAAAGTAATTTTTACTACTTTCATAGTAAAATGGGATCTGTCCGAAGTTTCTGCGCATCTATGGCAACTTTTACTCCAAAAATAGTAAAATTTGCTCCAGAAATAGTAAAATTTACTCCAGAAATAGTAAAAATTATTACAAAAATAGTAAATTTTACTATTTTTTGAGTAAAAGTTGCCAGAGATGCGCAGAAACTTCGGACAGGTCCAATTTTACTATGAAAGTAGTAAAAATTACTTTTTCTTTTTTTCCGTGTATATAAATATATGTAAATATATATTAATTAATAATATGTATATTAAAAACTCAGAAAATTCGAAAATTTTTAAAATTTTTTTGGCATAAATTTGCCAAAATGTCCCGCGAAAATATGAATGATAAAATAAATAGAGAAAATAAAATTTAAAATTCGGGAGACCAAAAAATAGATCGGATAATAGAAGTTCGGATAAAATGTTTTTCGGTTCGGATAATAGAAGGTCCGGATAATAGAGGTTCGGATAATCGAGGTTCCACTGTATAATTATACGAATTGAAAAAAGAGTTATTTAAATTTTCAAAACTAATACTCCCAATATTTTCTACAAATTTTTTAAGAATCAATAACTTTTTAAAAAAAAAAAAATTCGTTACTTTAACATATGTAAGACAATAATTTATTAAGGTATCAAGCCAATTTAAATAAATTTTTATTATAAATTCGATCGTTTGAGGATAAATGCCCTATATACATAAGAAAAATAATTTTTTAATGAAAATAATTAAATTATTAATTTAATTATTAATTTTAATATGAAATTTCAAATTTGTTGTGCAATTTTTTTTTAATGTTTTTTTATTTTATTTTAATAATTTTATTTTACTTTAATTTTTAATTTTTAAATATTATAATAAAATCTTTTTTCTGCATCTAAAATACAAAATTAGGATTTTTTTCATGTAAAGAAAAGTGTATTTTTATATCTTTGCTCATCAAACTTTAATGACTCATCTATAATGAAATAATTTAGATAAAAAAAAAAAATTATAGGCTTATTATTATAACGTTAAATATAGATTAATTCCTAAGGATTTTTCAGTTATTAATTCTTAATTAATAATTAATATTAATAGCAATATTATTAATTAATATTATTAAAAAAAAATTATTATTTTTTAATTATTAAAAAAAAAATAAAATAAAAATGCAATTTTCTCATCATATAATAAGACAGATGCAGACGAGATTGAGATTTATACAAGGAGATGGAGCAGACAAATGCGAGACAAATTCATGATTAGAGTAAATTTTCAAATTGAAAATTACATCATCTTTCATTTAAAAAAAAACTATTTATTTTTCAATATATAAATTTCTAAAATTGACCAATAAAAATTTTATTAAAGAAAAAAATAATTTATTTATTTTTCTTATTGTTTTATTTTAAATTGAAAAATAACATAGAAATATTTTTATATGTTTATCATCGAAATGATAAATTTTGTTTTGACAAAAATACGCTAATATTTCGGCTGAAAAAAAAATTTCCAAAAAACTTCATTTTTATTTTAATATAATAATATTTAAAATACAGATTTTAAAAACCGTTAACTAAATTTTTAAAATATCTTTCCTTTGGTAAAAAAAAAAAATGTCAACATTACGCGGTATTCCCAAGCGGTCACCCATCCAAGTACTAACCGCGCTCAACGTTGCTTAACTTAAGTGATCGGACGAGAACTTGTTTTTTCAACGTGAAATGAACGTTGACATTTAGAGAAATTTTCATTTCATCTTTCTTCTTAACTTTTGATAACTTTAATAAAATAATTATTTTTTGGACTAATAATTTTTAGAAACTCAAATTTCAAAATTTTGACCATAATAAATAATAATAAATTATATTTTCGTTAATACATATAATAATAATAATAATAATAACAATAATATTAAACAATTAAAATAAATTAAAATATAGAAAATATTAATGAATGAATTAATAATTAATTTAAAAAACATTAATTAAACAATAATCTGCATTTTTTATACAGAATTTAATTTATATTCCAAAAAAAAATGGATTTGTTTTTTATTTTAACAAAAATATTTTTGAAAATTGAATTTTCAAAGATTTAAATTTGAGATTTTTGAAATTAATTGAAACTTTAAGTGTTTTGTAATTAAAATTTTAGATGATTTCACTAAAAATTTATTAGAAAATGTGGACAAAATACAATAATTTAAAAATCATTTTTAATTGAAAAATGGTTTCAGATAGTTGAATTTTCAAAGAATATTATTAAAATAGTTAAAAATAATTGAATTTCCTTAGAGTTATAATTGAAATTATTAAATTTCAAAAAAAAAATTTTTGATGGAAAATTTTAGAAATAATTAAATTTTAGATGCTTTTAAATTTAAATTATTGAAAATTCAATTAATTTTAAATTCAAATTTTTGAGAATAACGAAATTTTATTTGATTTTAAATTTGGAAAATAATTGAATTTCAGTTCATTTTGAATTCAAATTTTTGAGAATAATGAAATTTTATTTGATTTTAAATTTGGAAAATAATTGAATTTCAGTTCATTTTGAATTGAAAATTTTGGGAAATAATTGAATTTTAATTGAAATTTTGGATATTAATTTAATTTAAGTTCATTTTTGATTGAAAATTTGGATAATTAATTTTGAATAGAAATTTTAGAAAATAATTGAATTTTATTTCATTTTAAATTGAAAACATGGTAAATAATTAAATTTTAAATTGAAAATTTTGGATAATTATTGGATTTTGAATTGATTTTGAATTAAAATTTCGGGTAATAATTGAATTTTAGTTTATTTTGATTTGAAATTTTAAAAAAATAATTGAATTTTACTGTGATATTTTTTTTTTAAATTATAAACAATTGTTAAATTTCATAAAAATTTTAACTGAAAAATAATTTTGATATAATTTGAATTTGTGATGTATTTCATTAAAATTATTAAAAATAATTAATTTAGTGAAGAATCATTTTAGTTTTTTATTTTATTTTATTAAAATAAGTCGATAAAAGTCGTATTTTTGAAAAAAAAAAGTCGGAAAAAGTCGTATAATCCGAGGCCTGTCAACATATAATTTTATATTAATCTTTAATTTCTTTATAACAAACAATTAAATACTCTATTTGGCGCGCGTTTAATTTTGCTAGTTTTCTTATAATTTATAGATGTTTTTAAAGTAAACAAAAACAAAAAAAAAATATACGAGGGACATAAATATTAAAAATTTCCAAAGATTTACCCGCATATTTTATTTTTGAATTAACATTATAATTTTTTTTTAACGCATTTCCAAGAGGGGAAAAAAGGAAAATATCAACTGCAGCTGCTAATATTTCCTGAAATGTCTTCGCAGCCAATTAGAAGTGTAGAAAATCGATTTAAACGTCCAGCCTCTTTAAACCATATTGGCCGCGTATATATATATATATATAATGTAAGATTTATTTCAATTAAAATTTTTTATCCTCCTTTCTCCAAAAATATATATAATTAACATCATGAACAAAAATAATAAATAAAAACATAATTAAAAGCTAAAATCGATTTTTTTTTTGACAATACAACAAAAATTAAATAACGGAATTAATAAAAAAAAACTAATTAAATTTTTTATAAAAATCCGTTTTATTGTTATTATTATTATTATTTTACTATTACTATTATTATTATTATTCTAAAATTAATCATGAAATTAATGCAATATAATGTTTTTAGTTGGTAAAAGTAGAAGAAATTTATTTAGACTATTTAGATTTTTTTTTTTTTAAATTTTATTTAAAAAAAAACATAGAATTTAGCCAGATTTTTTATCATTTAAAAAAAGCTAATAAACCTCTCGACAATATTGGCATTCCAAAAATCTGTTATTCGTAAAATTTATTACCAAGCGAGCATAAAATATTTTCATATATAGAAAATGTAAAAATATCTTTAAAAAATTATCGTCAAAAATATTTATAAACAGAGTTTTAATATCTAATAAAATCTAGTCTTATAAAATAGATCAAAAATTTTTTTTTTGGTAATAATTAAATAATAATAACAATAATAATAATAATAATAATAATACTAGTAATAATAATAATAATAGTAAAAATAATATCTATTTTTTACTTTTCCTGATGTTGCTAAAAAATAATAATAACAATAATTGATTTTTCTCGGTTGTACCTTAAAAATAATAACAAATTGTTTCCTTGGAATTTGTAAATAATTTGAATCAAAATTTTCCAATTATTACAAATGCAAATAAAAATAAATTATAAATAAAATTCGAATAGTAAAAAAAAAGCATTGAAGGTATATTGTAACATGATTCGCAATGAATCAAAACACACACATTCTCCCTCTTCATATTGCCCTTTAAATTTTAAACGCACCCATATAAAAAGGTCACCAATTCATATAGAAGAAAAAACAAAATTCTAGGAAGGGTCCAGGCAATACGAATCCTCCCCTCCTTTCAACACACAAAAAAAAATATAATACACAATAACAATAGAAGAAAATATCATCTGCTCACCAAGAATATGGACGGAAAAATCCCTATTATCCTTGTTCGCAGTTTCCCACTGCCACTAGACAATTTTCCCTCCTAGGGAAGCACAAATAATTTTTCCTTTTTTGTTTTTTTTAAATCCCAATTTTTATTTCCATGGCACTTACTCCTTTTTTTGTTGAATTAAAAAAAAAAAAAAAACACCAATTTAAAAAAAATAATTTATTTTTCCTTCTAAAATATTGCGCGAAACAATTTATTATTATAATTCACATACTAGTTGGGAACGTGCGTTGACCTACGACTGGCTTTCCGTGGAACGAAAGTGAGAAGAAGAAGAGAGAGAGAGAGAAAGAAAGAAAAGAGAGAAAAGTCGTCGAGGCGCCTTGAGGAAAGCGAGCGCATTTAATAGTTCTACGACGAAAATAAACCGGTCGCGCAAGAGGGTAAAGAAATTTTATTTTTCTCCCCTTTTTAAAACATCATTACAAGGGAGGAGAGAAAAAATTAAGTGAAAAAGATAGAGAGAAATGTTAAAACATCTGAACATGAGAGCTACTCAGTTCAAACTGCGCTCGCGCGCTGCGCAGACCACGAGTGAACTGTGTCTTCATATGGCGCACGCGCAATTACACGCACTACGCATGCCTTAACGCATGCGCCATTGAGAGAATTATAAATTTTTTTCCCTCCCATTTTTTTTTTGCCCCTCACACATCACGCGGGAAAATTATTCTCTTGTTACATAAAAATTTTTATACTATATATTTTCTTCGTTAATTATGATTAATGTTAATTAAATTTCAACTAATTTATTAAAATTTCACCTTGTTATTATTAGTCAAGAAAAAAAAATTTATACATTTTGCGAACAGTGCAAGAAATTAATTCAAATGTCGATTGTAGTCGCATGGTGGAGCAAAAACAAATCAATCTTTCGACTTGTAAATGATTTAAATAATTTTATAACCCACTATAACGCTCGTAATTAAATTATTTACAAATAATAACATATTTAATACCTACTTTAACATGAAAAATATTTTTTCATCCTCTTCTCTAATATAAAATGAAAAAAAAAACCTTAAGACAAAAATAAAATGTTTTCTTTTAAATTAAAAATTTACTCGAAACACTTTTTCTACACATTTTGAAAACTGTCATTTTTTATTGAAACAAAAGCAAAACGAGAATTTTAAAAAAAGAATTTTAGATACCAAATTTATTTCAAATCAGGCAAACTGAAACATCGTTTATCTAAAACTAGCAAAATTAAACGCGCGCCAAATTAAATATTTAATTGTTTGTTATAAAGAAATTAAAGATTAATATTATCAATATTAATTTAATTTATTAGAATATTATTACATATTAAATGATAATAATGAAAATTATATGTTTACAGGCCTCGGATTATACGACTTTTTCCGACTTTTTTCAAAAATACGACTTTTATCGACTTCTTTTAATAAAATGCGACTTTTTTTTACATTTGAAAAAAAGTGTAAATAAAATACATTTATAGTATAAAATGTAGATCTTCTTCAGATGTTCTTCAATTCAATTATTTAACAAATTTGCAACTAAAATGATTCTTCACTAAATTAATTATTTTTAATAATTTTAATGAAATACATCATAAATTCAATTATATCAAAATTATTTTTCAATTAAAATTTTTATGAAATTTAACAATTGTTTAAAATTTAAAAAACAAATATCACAATAAAATTTAATTATTTTTTAAAAATTTCAATTCAAAATAAACTAAAATTCAATTATTACCCGAAATTTTAATTCAAAATCAATTAAAAATCCAATAATTATCAAAAATTTTCAATTTACAATTTAATTATTTAACAAGTTTTCAATTTAAAATGAAATAAAATTCAATTATTTTCTAAAATTTCTATTCAAAATTAATTATCCAAATTTTCAATCAAAAATTAACTTAAATTAAATTAATATCCAAAATTTCAATTAAAATTCAATTATTTCCCAAAATTTTCAATTCAAAATAAACTGAAATTCAATTATTTTCCAAATTTAAAATCAAATAAAATTTTATTATTCTTAAAAATTTGAATTCCAAATTAATTGAATTTTCAATAATTTGAATTTAAAAGCATCTAAAATTTAATTATTACTTAAATTTTCCATCGAAAATTGTTTTTTTTTAAAATTTAATAATTTCAATTATAACTCTAAGGAAATTCAATTATTTTTAACTATTTTAATAATATTCTTTGAAAATTCAACTATCTGAAACCATTTTTCAATTAAGTATTTTGTACGCATTTTCTAATAAATTTTTAGTGAAATCATCTAAAATTTTAATTACAAAACACTTAAAGTTTCAATTAATTTCAAAAATCACAATTTTAAATCTTTGAAAATTCAATTAAATTTAAAAAATGTTTTACAAAAATTGTTTGATAATTTCAAATTTTTGAACACTCTTTTTGCATGATGAAATGAAAAAATTTTCTATTTTCTTTAGTTAGAAAATAAAATTTTAGTAATTTATAAGAAACGAAAAATTTTTATAGGAAATAAAAATTAAAAAATTGAATTTTATTTGAAAATACAAAATAGAAAAAATGAAAAATAATGAGATATTTCTTTTTTTGTAAAAAATGGATCCCAATATTTTTAATATTTATTAATTAAATATAAAATTTTAGAAAATATAAATTTAGAACACTAAAATGATTCTTCACTAAATTAATTATTTTTAATAATTTTAATGAAATACATCACAAATTCAATTATATCAAAATTATTTTTTCAATTAAAATTTTTATGAAATTTAACAATTGTTTATAATTAAAAAAAAAAAATATCACAATAAAATTGAATTATTTTTTTAAAATTTCAATTCAAAATAAACTAAAATTCAATTATTACCCGAAATTTTAATTCAAAATCAATTAAAAATCCAATAATTATCCAAAATTTTCAATTTAAAATTTAATTATTTACCAAGTTTTCAATTTAAAATGAAATAAAATTCAATTATTTTCTAAAATTTCTATTCAAAATTAATTATCCAAATTTTCAATCAAAAATAAACTTAAATTAAATTCTAATCCAAAATTTCAATTAAAATTCAATTATTTCCCAAAATTTTCAATTCAAAATGAACTGAAATTCAATTATTTTCCAAATTTAAAATCAAATAAAATTTCATTATTCTCGAAAATTTGAATTCAAAATTAATTGAATTTTCAATAATTTGAATTTAAAAGCATCTAAAATTTTCCATCGAAAATTTTTTTTTTTTGAAATTTAATAATTTCAATTATAACTCTAAGGAAATTCAATTATTTTTAACTATTTTAATAATATTCTTTGAAAATTCAACTATCTAAAACCATTTTTCAATTAAAAATGATTTTCAAATTATTGTATTTTGTCCTCATTTTCTAATAAATTTTTAGTTAAATCGTCTAAAATTTTAATTACAAAACACTTAAAGTTTCAATTAATTTCAAGAATCTTAATTTTAAATCTTTGAAAATTCAATTAAATTTAAAAAATGTTTTCCAAAAATTGTTTGATAAATTATTTTTAGTTGAGTAAAATTTAATAATTGTTTGAAAATTAACAATATCTTTTGAAATTTAATTATTTCTAAAAATTTCAACTTTGACCCCTCGAAAAGGATTATTATTAAAAAAAAAAATTTTTATTTAAAAATCTGTAAAATATGTTTGTTAAAATAAAAAACAAATCCACTTTTTTTTGGAATATAAATCGACTAAAACGAATTTTTGTGTCTTTAAGTTGATTCGAGGCCTGTGTTTTTATAATTAATATTTAATAGATATTCGTTGGCCCCTGGTACCTTAAAAATTAATTTTTAAAAATAAATTTTTTTCAAATTACTATCTTGTACGAAATTTCCTGGCGCATCTTTTTTCTCATCATACATTTTTTGTATTTGTATACAATTTTTGAATGAATATACAACTTTAAAAAAAATTTCGTTGGTAAACGTTGTGTACTTCAGCTTCGTGAATTGAATTTTCGAATTTGGAATTTTAAAGAAACTTATTCCGAAATTTGGAAACACAATTATACAACTTTGGCAAAAATGAGAAAAAGAATTGTCAAAATTTGACACGTCATAAGATTACTATTCAAAAAAAACACGTGAAATCAGAAAAGGCCAACTTCAAGTTAGGACAGAAGGACAGACCAAGCATTTTATTATTATATAATTTAGGAAAAAAATAACTTTAAAGTGCTATAATTTTTAAAGTAATTTAGTTATGTCATTTTAGAAGAGAAAAATTTTTTTTTACCAGAATCGGGAACAAGTGAAATTTTTTTTTATTAAATTACCCGCCATTTTGTTATTTTTAAATTTTTTCAACGGATTTTGAAAGAAAAATGAAAGCTCTTTCAAATGCAAAAAGAAAAAAAAACTAAATTACTTTAAAATTTTTTTCTTCTAAATTTTAGATAAACAACGCTTCATCCTGTCTGATTTAAAATGAATTTGGTCTAGAAAAAAGTGCAGGTAAAAAATATTTAATTAATTTAAATTTTAAAATCATCTCTTTAATCATTAATTGGTTTGGTTTTACTTTTCTATATATATATAATATTATAAAAGTCGATTCTAAATATATATAAATACCTTGATAGTACAAAAAAATTCCCGTAATGATCCTTAAAAAAAAAAAAAAAATCATTCAAAAAACATTAATTTAAAATTTGTCAATCAATTGAAGAATATGTTGTTGTTCAGCTTCTTTGTACTCTGGTTCTGCAGCATCTCCCAAATTTCCTGCATATTCTAAAAATAAAAATCATTCAAAAAAAAATGATTATTTATAGAAATTAAATTTTATTGAATATTGAGAGAAATTAAATTTAATAAAATAAATTTTTTTTTAAAAAACTATTACTAAAAAAATATTACCTCGCATTATATGTCTAATTGTTTTCAGAGAAGCTCTTCTCTGTGATAAAATTCTAGTTACTCTTTGTTTAACGGCCGGTGGACAACCAGCACATGCTTCTAAAAGAATATAATCTACACCTTGTAGAATAAATAATCCGCCATCGAGTCTTTTTAAATAAGATTCATCTTCATCATTCTCTTCCTAGAATTGAATTTATTATATTTTTTTTAATATTAAACTATTGTATTATTACTGTTTTTAATTTAAATTTAAAAAAAAATTTAATTCTAAGTTTAAAGCGGTGCATAGAGCTGAATTTTTGGAATCTGGTTATTAAAATTCGTTTTATTTAACCCTTAACTGGCACCAAGGGGTCCAGTAGACCCAAGTATTTTTTCGAGTTCAAATTAATTGAATGTGTAGCTTTTGAATATTTTTTTATATTTTAATATATTAGTTGCACATATTCTTAGTAATTTTCTAAATTTTTTGATACAACTAATTCGATACAAAAGAATAAATTAACTTCAAACATTAATAATTATAAATTTTGTATTTTCACCTAAAAAGTCACATTTTATTCTGCAAAATAAATACCTTTTTTACCTTAATTTTTCGTTTTAATAATGTGATATTGCATGTCATGAATTTAAATTGAGACAAAAAATTATATTGTTAATAGTTTGCAATTAAAAACAAAAAAAAAAATACAAACCTGCGCCTCTTTTTCAATTTCCTCTACCCTTTCTAAATATTTAAAATGAAGTTCCATAAGTCTGTCAACTTTTTCAAAATCATTTTCAGTAAATTTACTGAGTAAACGTTGCCTCTGTGTTCCTTTACAATTTTTCAACATACTCGCAATAATCCAAACAACGTATTCTAAACATTTAATAAAAGTTTTTTTTTTAATTAACATTTATTTGAAAAAAAAAACAACTGTAAGTCAAATTTTTTCAAATATTTAAGAATTTAACTTGATTCGAAAACAAGAAAATCACGCTGTAAGTAAGAAAAAAAAATAATAAAAATATTAATTTAATTTTATAATTTTGAAAAGTATTTAAAATTTTCAAAAATTAGTTAAAAATAATAAATACCTTCGTGTTGTTCAACAGATAATAATTTCTTTCTATTTTTTGTTGGCGTTTTCATAAAAAGTGGAAATATTGTCCTCAATCCCAAAATGTCGACAAATTTATTACAATTATCTTTTCCATCTGGACCATTCATTGCATAACTAAGAACCTGAGGAAAATTATTAATATAATTCTTTTTATCATCGAAACTTCAATCGACAGAATTTTTATCTCTACGAATTGTTATTTAATAGAAATTTTAAAAACGCCGAATTTTTATTTCACCGAAATTCCAAATGTCCGAACAAATATCCAACAGAAAAGTTTTGTGCGAGAATTAAAAATTTTTTTTTTAAATTGAATACCTTCAATGAACCATTCCTTGACATTTTCTTCTCACGTAGCATTAAATTCATAAGTTGAAGACCTTCACCTCTGAGAAATCTATCTTTATTTACAGTTAACAATAAACTTGAGCATAGAACATTAAAAAGATTTTCCATCATTTCCTGTTCGTCTGCACTTTGTGGATCGTGACGTTTGTAATACTGAAAAAAAACCGATTTTTAAAAAATTTCCATCTATAAGAGAAAGAAATTTTATTTTTTAAATTAGCAAATTGTGGCTAAAATTATGGAATTTCTACCGCAAGTTGTTGTAGTAAAACATCAACACCGTCTAAATCTCCCAAAAGTGTGGCATTGTCAATTGAATCTTGAAGAAGAATTGAAAGTAATTCACTGGCATAAAGTTTATTTGCATCGTAGGGCATTTTTGCTTTTATTCTTTTTAATAGCCATTGCATTAATCCTTGTTTTCCCGCTTCTGCTCTTAGTTCTGGATTAAATTCCAATACATTTTCAAAAATTGCTGCAAAAACGAACAAATTTATTTTGAATTTGATGATTGAAATTATTTTTTAACAGATAAATTTTTATATTTTTATTTGAAAATATTTAAAATTTGGAAAAATTTTTTTAATTAGGGTCAGCCAGGGTAAATCCGAACGCTTTTAGTAAGTTTCAACAATAACATAAGTTTTTTCTTTTAAAAGACAATACTTTCGGTATTCTGGTGCATGAAGTTGTTACTTTACTTCCATAGAACAATTTTATGGGGTAGCAAAATTTTTTTGATAAATTACAATCGCAGGAAACTTAGCGTTCGTATTTACCTCGATACTTTGCAATTTTCCTAAAATACCGGGGTAAATACGAACGCCGCACTGTATTTCAGAAAAATCTTAGGGAAAATAAATTTAAAGTATTGCAATTGTTAAACTTATATAAAAACTCAACAAAAAAATACGATAATAAACCTATTATGTAATAATGCATCATATATAAATACAAAAATCAAACAGGTTAAAAATTAAAATGCATTACACAATTAAAATCTTCAATAACTTTATCAAGTTATAACGGATTTTTGCAAAACTTGCTACAGAATGTATTTTGGAGTGATTGAATGTAAATACAAAAATAAAATTCAAATTTTTTAAATTCAAAATGGCGGACTTTCCTAAATCTTATTTTTAAAAATGATGAAATTTGCTAACTCCAAATTCGTAATCAGTGACCCTGAAACACCCCGAGTAACAATTTTCGAGCGAATCCAATGAATTTTTTAATTCTCGTCCGCCATTTTGAATTTTGAAAAACTGACTTGAAATTGGTAATCAGCGACCCCAAAAACCCTAGAATACCAAATTTTTTTTAAGATCGTGAAAAACTTTTTTTCAACAAACCATTTGGCAAAAAAAGTGGAACACTCCTTCGAGAGAACAGAGATTAAGTTTCTACTTATTAATTACTAACGAAGATACATATAGAAAGAAAAACTTTTTTCTATGTACTTTTATAATGTTAAAATAATAGTGTAATGAAATAAAAACAATTTTTGATATAAGAAAAAATAATTGAAAATACCGTTCGGATTTACCCCGGTTTTCCAATTTTCCGGGGTAAATATACGAACGGTCTGATATTATTAATAAAATTTTACAGAAGGCAAAAATGAAAAATAGTTTCTGTTCTAGTATTCATAACAAACAATTTTAAATAATAAAATAAATTTTTAGCTTCTTTTTCTTCAAATACGAGACAAAATACTGAAAGAGTGTCATCTTTGATTTTCAATCTTTTTTGCAATACTCGTTATCTTTGTTTATGCTATTGCTAATTAACAAACGAAAAATGGGATAATACTTAGAATCTCTTCAAGAGGATCTGAGGTAAAAATTCTCATGTCTAACTTATTTTTTTAAATTTTAATTAAGCTGAAATAATTAGCGTTCGGATTTAACCCGGCTGACCCTAAATTTTTTAATTTTTGCTTAAAAAAGGGAAAAAAGGGGAAATTTTGTTTGAAAAAAGGGGAAAAATAGGGTAAAATCTAAATGTATATTTTCCTTAATCAAAATGCTTTAAAGTTGTTTTAAATTACACTACCGGTGAAAATTTTGAGACCACCCATTTTCTCGATGAATAAAAAAACTTCTTAAAACATAGAAAGTATAGAAACCAACATTTTTTTCCAAATTTTTTAAAAGATGATAAATTTATAGAGAAAAGTGAGATTTAAAGGAGAGATTTTACCAATATAGTATTTATTTATTTTTTTTTTTAAATGTAATTTTCAATTTTTTATAAAAATTTGAATTCTATACATTTAATAAATAAACACTTTTTAATTTTTAAACTTATTTTAAAATTAATTTTTCACAGAATGAAAATTACTTCTAAACTAATTTTTTTCTTGCAAAATGCTAGTAATTTTTTATTTTAACAAACCGAATACCGTCTTATAAAATATACAAAACTTGATTTTATTCATATTTTTCAAAGAAACTGAAATTTTTAATTTATTTAAATTAAATTTTAAAATTAATTTTCTCTTTAAAAAAAGAATTCTAATTTTTCTAATTCAGGCCTCGGATTGACTTTAGAAAGAGAAGGAAGTAGTTTTAGTCGATTTAGATTAAAAAAAAAGTCGATTTTTTTTATTTTAATTAAATTTAATTAGTTAATAAATATTTTACTTTAAATAACTAATGTTATTAGATATTAAATACATTTTATTAATTCATCAATTTTAATTAAGTAGGACAAACTTCTAAAAAATAAAATAAAATTTTAGAATTTTTATTTGAAACTTTTTTAAATAATTGAATTTTTAAAAAAAATATAAAATTTTTTTTAAATAATTGAAGTTTGGAAATAAGTTTTTAAAAATAATTAAATTTCAGACAATAATGAAATTTTACAGAATTGAAAATAATTTATCAATTATATAATTTTAGATAACATTTTTTAAAAGTAATTAAATTTTAGATTAGGATTTACAAAATTCACATTTTTGAAATTTAAACTTCAAGTGATTTTTAATTGAAATTTTTTGTAATTTCTGTTGATAAAGAATTTATTAGAAATTACAGACAAAAATTAAATTTCAAAAGTTTTTAATTGAAAAATGCTTTCAAATAATTGAATTTTTAAAGAATATTGTGAAAAATCATTTAAAATAATTATATTTCGAAAGAGTAATAGTTAAAATTATTAAATTTCAAAAAGTTTTAGATGGAAAATTTTAAAACGTAAATTGAAATTTTTTGTAATTTTTGTTTGATGATTTTTTTTTTTTAATTGTAAATAATTGTTAAATTTCATTAAATTTTTAATTAAAAAATAGTTTAAGATAAATGAATTCGTGAAGAATTTTATTAGAATTATTTAAGATAATTAATTTAGAGAAAAATTATATTTTGTTTACAAATTTCGTAATAAAAATAAAATGTCGAAAAAGTCGCATCTTATTAATTAATTATTAGAAATTAAATAATTTTTTTCTAATTCTATAATAAGAATGTTTCAAAGGAATATTTCCATCAACTTTTTTTTTTAAACTTCAAAATTAAACTATGACAATTTTTCAAGATTTCAATTGAATAGGCCAAATTTTGAAAAATAATAATTTAAAATTACTTTAAAAGAAGAAAAAATTCTAAGTCATTGTACAAATTATTTGAATTCAGAATTTTGGCAAATGTTTTAAATAATTAAATATTTTCAAAGAAATTAATAAAAATATTATTGAAATAAATTAATTTATTAATTGAAATTGTTGTAAATTTTAAATTACTGAAATACTTTCTTCTCGAAAGACGGACACTTTTTACAAAAGCAGCTAGAGATCCTTATCTTATATAAATTTCCTAAATCCTAAAGATTATACGAATCCATACAAAAACACGATTGCAAAACGAAAAGTAATATAATGAGGGGTTCATTACCTCCTGCCGCCGTCAGATGGCAGCAGCATGTAGGGCGCACAAAGTCGCAGCTGTTATTAGATTACTCTTCTACTTTTTGTTTTGCAACCATGTTTTTCTATGGATTCGTACAGTCTTTTGGATTTAGGAAATTTATAAGATGAGGATTTTGGCTGATTTTGTTAAAAGTGTTCGTGTTTCGAGAAAAAAGTATTTTAAAATCAATACTATTTCACGTTCAGAGCGATAATTACAGCTCTCTTCTTGCCAAAGAATTTCAGATACCGTTCGACACTCTTAATGCATAAATATAAAAACGAAACAAGAAAATAACTTCATTGTTAATAAATTTATATGAACACAAATCTAAAACATCTATTATCTATATATAATTATACATTAAATAAATTCTGCTTCCTCATAAAATACTATTTTTAAATATTTAAAACTCAATTTGTTTTAAATTGGGCACGTAAGCTGATTTTAAAACCTATTGAGAAAAGTTTTTTTTATTCATCTTAGAACCATAATCAAAAAGAATTTTTAAGTGCCAATTCATTTTTATTTAAACCTCCTTTTGGCGCACCGTGGGCGATGAGAATGTAAAAAGAGAAAAACGAATTACCTAATGTGTTGTGCACTCCATCACTTTCTTCCTTGACTGTTTCGTCGAGTCTCTCAATATTTTGAACGAGAAGAGCAAAAATTTGTTGATCAACAAGTGTATTAATCAATGATTCAACGCTCTCAACAGTCTCGTCGAAATTTTCCATATCAGTGAGATCTTGCAATAAAGTAACAATACCAACTGCAACATCTGTATTCTCATGGGACAAAAGTTCAAGTAAAGAAGGAACTACATTTAATTCAACCATTGTCGGATATAAATCCGGACATGTGGAGACTTGACGAAGTTCCTGAATTGTTTCATGTAATTCAATTTCCGATTCCATGAATCTAGAAGAAAAAAAAAATCAGAAATGAAAAAATTTAATTTTTTCAGAGGGTTAGAAATTAAAAAATTGAAAATTTTTCTTTTTGAAATTTCTGATCCCTTAATTAAAGGGATTTTTAAATTAAAAGTAATTATTTCTGAACTGTTATTTCCCTACGGTGACGTAAGTAAAATCAAAAAATACTTTTCCGGTTGATCGGGAAATTTGACTCTCATTTCCTGATTTCTGAGTGCTCGCTTTTCAAAGAGAAGAATCATTCTTTTAAGTGAAGCTTCATCGAGAAGTTCTGTTTCTGCGGCTTCTGTCTCAACATATTTGAGAATATCTTCCTTCTCCTCTTCAGTTAATTGTGTCTCAACAACATCGTGAACTGATGATGGAAGATCCGATCTAATTGGAGTTGGAGGCTCAATATTTCGAATAGGAGTACTTTCAACATCCATTTGCCTTTGACGAGGATGATATGGAGTTCTAATGACTTTTTTTCTTCTTTTTGAACTTTCCCATTCATCTTCCTCGTCGTCTTGAATTTCACCTCCTAATCCTCGTTTTGGAGTGTTTGGAGGCTACAAAAAGAAAATTGTCCGTTTAATGACGTTTATCCACCGAAATGCATTCCTCCAGAACATAAAATTAACATCTAAATAATTAAAATAATCAGGGTGATAACACAAAAAAAAAATTATTATGTTTTTCCCTGATTCCAAGACAAAATTAAAATTTTTTCTCTAACCCTAATGAAAATATTTCAAGAGGTTTTCAATAACAGGCCTCGGATTGCACGATTTTTTCGAATTTTTTTTTTATATTTTAAAATTTAATCATAAAAAAATATATTAACTTGAATTGTTTGCAAAATCAATTATTTTCAATAATTTAAAACAAATTCTTCGAAAGTTACATGATTTAAAAATTAAAACAGTTTTCAATTGAAAATTTACTAAAATTCTTAAAAAGTTTTTAAAAAATTTCACAAATTCAAAATGAAAGTTTCAATTAATAATCTCCTGAAATTCAAATATTATTTCTCAAAATTTTAACTCGAACTCTTCTAAAATAAAATTATTTCTAAATTTTTTAACAAAAATTCTATGTTGAATAATTTAATTTTAATAATTTTAATCAACATTTTGGAAAATTTAATTATTTAAAACATTTTCTAATTCAAAATGCTCAAAAGTTTAATTATTCTGAGGCGCATGATTTTTCCCAAAAATTAAAAAGTTCGAAATTTTAATTGATCGAAATTCTAAAAGAACGACTGTTATGAAAGTCGACATTTTATTTAGTCGATATTTGATTTGATTGAAAATCTAAATGCTCGATATTTAAATTGGTCGACATTTTATATAGACGATATTTTATTTGGTCGAAATTTTAAATGATCAACATTTAAAGTAGTCGAAATTTTATTAGTTCGATATTCTAAATGATAGAAATTTAGAAGCATCGAATTTTATATCAATCGAAATTTAATTTGATCGATATTTTAAAAGCTCGACATTTTTTTAGCTATACGAGTTTCATCTCTATGCTGTTATTATTATTTACATCAATAATTTCAAATTTTCCGCAAAATTTCAATGTACTTTACCGACAAACAACATAGAAAGGAAACTCGTATAGCTAAAAAAGTGTCGAGCTTTTAAAATATCGATTAAATTAAATTTCGATGGATATAAAATTCGATGCTTCTAAATTTCTATCATTTAGAATATCGAACAAATAAAATATCGACCACTTTAAATGTGGATCATTTAGAATATCGACCAAACAAAATATCGAACTAATAAAATTTCGTCCACTTTAAATGTCGATCATTTAGAATTTTGACCAAATAAAATATCGTCTAAATAAAATGTCGACCACTTTAAATATCGACCATTTAGATTTTCGATCAAATAAAATATCAACTAAATAAAATGTCGTCCTTCATAAATGTCGATTATTTAAAATTTCGACCGAATAAAAAATCGACTGAATAAAATGTTGACCATTTTAAATATCGATCATTTAGAATTTCGTTCAAATAAAATATCGACTTAATGTAATTCGATCAATTAAATTTTCGACCTTTTTAATTTTTGGCAAATGAATTCGGTCTAATTATTTTTAAAGTCTTAATTAAAAATCTTTTGAAATTCAATTATTTCACAAACTTTCATTTAAAATTAATTTTTTTTTCAATAATATTTTAATGAAATTCTTCGAAAATTTAATTATTTAAAACATTTTCTAAAATTCTGAATTCGAATAATGTGCATAAATCAGACTTGAAATTTTTTTTATTTTTTTAATATACCTTGAATTTTTTTTTGAAAATTTGTTCTGAAACTGAATTGAAATCTTGAAAATTTGTTTCACTTTAATTCGGTGGTTTAAAAACAAAAATTGTTAAAAATATTTCTGTGAAACATTCTTTTTAGAGAATTAATAAATTTAATTTAATTTCTAATAACAAATTGTTAATAATAATAAAATATTTATCAACTAATTAAATTTATTGAAAATAAAAAAATGGACTTTTTAGACATGTCTTGTAATGTAAATCGACTAAAATGACTTTTTTTTTCTTTCAAAAGTCGATCCGAGGCCTAAAATTATAAAAATATTATTATTACATAATAATAAAATGCTTGGTCTGTCCTTCTGTCCGAACTTGAAGTTGGCCTTTTCTGATTTCACGTGTTTCTTTTAATAGTAATTTTATGACGTGTCAAATTTTGACAATTCTTTTTCTCATTTTTGCCAAAGTTGTATAATTGTGTTTCCAAATTTCGGAATAAGTTTCTTTAAAATTCCAAATTCCAAAATTCAATTCACGAAGCTGAAGTACACAACGTTTACCAAAGAAATTTTTTTTAAACTTGTATATTCATTCAAAAATTCTATACAAATACAAAAAATTTATGATGAGAAAAAAGATGGGCCAGGAAATTTCGTACAAGATAGTAATTTGAAAAAAATTTATTTTTCAAAATTAATTTTTAAGGTATCAGGGGCCAACAAATACCTATTAAATATTATTTATAAAAACACAGGCCTCGAATCAACTTAAAGACACAAAAAAGTCGTTTCAGTCGATTTATATTCCAAAAAAAAGTGAATTTGTTTTTTATTTTAACAAAAATATTTTACAGATTTTTAAATAAAAAATTTTTTTTAATAATAATCCTTTTCGAAGGGTTAAAGTTGAAATTTTTAGAAATAATTAAATTTCAAAAGATATTGTTAATTTTCAAACAATTATTAAATTTTACAGAACTAAAAATAATTTATCAAACAATTTTTGGAAAACATTTTTTCAATTTAATTGAATTTTCAAAGATTTAAAATTGAGATTTTTAAAATTAATTGTTTAAGTGTTTTGTAATTAAAATTTTAGATGATTTCACTAAAAATTTATTAGAAAATGAGGACAAAATACAATAATTTGAAAATCATTTTTAATTAAAAAATGGTTTCAGATAGTTGAATTTTCAAAGAATATTATTAAAATAGTTAAAAATAATTGAATTTCCTTAGAGTTATAATTGAAATTATTAAATTTCAAAAAAAAAATTTTCGATGGAAAATTTTAGAAATAATTAAATTTTAGATGCTTTTAAATTCAAATTATTGAAAATTCAATTAATTTTGAATTCAAATTTTTGAGAATACTGAAATTTTATTTGATTTTAAATTTGGAAAATAATTGAATTTCAGTTCATTTTGAATTGAAAATTTTGGGAAATAATTGAATTTTAATTGAAATTTTGGATAATAATTTAATTTAAGTTCATTTTTGATTGAAAATTTGGATAATTAATTTTGAATAGAAATTTTAGCAAATAATTGAATTTTATTTCATTTTAAATTGATGACTTCGTAAATAATTAAATTTTAAATTGTAAATTGTGGATAATTATTGGATTTTGAATTGATTTTGAATTAAAATTTCGGGTAATAATTGAATTTTAGTTTATTTTGAATTGAAATTTTTAAAAAATAATTCAATTTTATTGTGATATTTTTTTTTAAATTATAAACAATTGTTAAATTTCATAAAAATTTTAATTGAAAAATAATTTTGATATAATTGAATTTGTGATGTATTTCATTAAAATTATTAAAAATAATTAATTTAGTGAAGAATCATTTTAGTTCAAAATTTGTTAAATAATTGAATTGAAGAAGATCTGAAGAAGATCTACATTTTATACTAAAAAAATGTAATTTATTTACATTTTCTTTTCAAATGTAAAAAAATGTCGCATTTTATTAAAATAAGTCGAAAAAAGTCGTATTTTTGAAAAAAGTCGGAAAAAGTCGTATAATCCGAGGCCTGTAAACATATAATTTTCATTATTATCATTTAATATGTAATAATATTCCAATAAATTAAATTATTATTGACAATATTAATCTTTAATTTCTTTATAACAAACAATTAAATACTCAATTTGGCGCGCTTGCGTGCGTTTAATTTTGCTAGTAAGACAATAATTTTTAGAAGCAAAAGTTTGAATTGAAAATTTCAAAAATTATAATTTTTAGTAGCATTTTTAGAAATTTGATATTTTTCCAGTACTTTTCATAAAATTCCCTGACTTTTCAATGATTTTCCTAACCTGTGGCAACACTGATAATGTTATTAATTATACTTTCTGAAATATCAATTTAAAAAAAAAAATTATAACCTACAAAATTTATTTGTTTATACAAATTGCAAAAAAAAAATTTATATTATACTGCGGGTAATAATTTTTTATGAGCAAAATTTCGATTTATAAAATTTTGAGGTTAGATTGACTGATTTTTATTGCAAGAAATATGAAAGAAGAAAACAATTTTACCTTATAGGATAACAATTCTCCGATATCCATTATTTCTAGATAAAATACAACTTTTTTTTCAAAATTATTATTAACACTTTTTAAAGGAGATTCGTTATTTTTTTTTAGAGAAACGAAAAAATAAAATTGAATGAATGTAACTGAATACGGTGTGTCAAAAATTTTGTAAACAAGTAATTCCAAAGCAGCCTTAGCGCTCAGGGTTGAAACAGTATTGAGGAAGAAAAACGACGGTGGCGCTGTTCTGGTGAATGGCGGGAGAACTATCAAAATTTAAATAATTTTTGAAGAAAAAATATATTATTTAAATAATTAAACATAATTGTTATTTCGTTGTAAAGGTCCTAAATAATTATTGTTATTATATAAATAAATAATTATTATTAAATAACTTTTTTTTCTAATTGAGTGTAATTTTTTTCACAAACATTTTATATTCAGAAATGAATATGGAATATAAATTATATGTTACAAACATAGGACACGGAAAACACTTAATTTAATTAATATTTTATAAATAAACAATTTAAAAAGACTATTTATAATAACAAATTTTTATAAAACAAAAATTATTTTTAAATGCGAGAAAAATCTATTTTTTGTTTTTAAATTTGTCAAATGGATCTCGAAAAATTTTATTTTTTATTTAAAATAACTAAAAATTCCTATTGTTTATAAAAAAAATTTTTTTTTTGTCTATATTATTTTTATAAACTAATTTTGAAATATTCGATTAAATGGTATTTCTGTTAAATAATAAATCAAAGAAATGAGAATTCGGCTAAAAATAAATTCTGAATAATAAAATTGAGTCGAATAAAAATTTTAAGAAATTAATTTTAAAACACAGTCGCTCATTGGTTCATACATTTTCTACGATGTCATATCTCAAATTCCATGAAGTGACACAGCCCTGATGGTAGTCAGGTTTTGGAAGCGCAGTTGTAAACAAAAGAAAATTTTCATTCTTTATTATTGTGGTAGTTTTTTTTGTTTTGTTTTGTTTAATAATTAAAGAAACAAGTATTTGAAATAAAAATGCCTTATTATGCCGTTGCAATAGGACGAATTCCAGGAATTTACGATACTTGGTAAAAAAAAAATTGAATTTTTCAGTTATAACCAAAAAAGTGAATATTTTGTATAGAGAAATTAACACATATTGGTTATTATATATAACCAATATGTGCTAATTTTTCTACAATTTTCTTTTGGATTTTGAAAGTGTTATGTTCGTAGATTAAAAAAATCGCTAGACCCAAAATCTTCCATCGAGAGCTTTTTGAGAAAAACTACTTTAAAAAATTTGATTCTTGAAAAGTTTTTTTTAAATGTAGTTTTTGTTTATTACAAATTTTATCCTATCATATGCAAATTAAGTATAGTAAAACATGGGCGATTTCACATGAGATTTTCGTCGACCCTTTAAATTCGGCCAAATATTTTTTTTTCTTGTTCTGAAGTGAAAAAAAGAGATACGTATTTTTTTATTTTTTTTTGTGAAAAATTTTCAAGTTATGAATTTTCAAAATTTCATTTTTTTCAATGTAGACCTATTTTCAATGGCTGATAACTCGAAAAAAATGGATTTTTTCAATTTTTGCTAAGAGAAAAAAAGTTTCAGTTTCTCTTTTACTTTTCAATAATGTTAACAAAAAATTTTTTTTTTTCATTTTTTATTAAAAAAATAACAATTTTTTATAAACAAATTAATTTTTTTTTTAATTTGGATGATTTAAAAAAATTTTTTTTTGTTAAATATACCTAGAAATACTAAAAAGATTTTGCAAAAAAAAATTTAGAGTGGGTCGATAAGTTTTATAGGTTTAAATAAATATTTAAACACCGCGCGCAGCATTTTGCGCATTTTTGAAAATTAAAAAAAATTGTAAAATTGTTAAAAATTATTTTATTTTTCATTTTTTTTGGAACCTTTAATAATATTTCACTAAGAAAAATAGAAAAAAATAATTTTTAACAATTTTACAATTTTTTTTTAATTTTTAAAAATGCGGTTTTTAAATGTTTTTTTAAACATTTTTTTTTTTTCATTTTTTTGGAACCTAAAATCATATTTCACTAAGAAAAATGAAAAAAAAATAATTTTTAACGATTTTACAATTTTTTTTAATTTTCAAAAATGCGCAAAATGCTACGCGCGGTGTTTAAATGTTTATTTAAACCTATAAAACTTATCGGCCCACTCTAAATTTTTTTGCAAAATCTGCTTAGTATTTCTAGATATATTTAAAAAAAAATTTTTAAATAAATAATAAATAAAAAAAAATAAATAAATAATAAATAATTAATAAATAAATATGGCAAAATTTCTGAAGTGATCTAATTAAAAAAATTTCTTAGATCCGGATAAAATTTTCATAACATTTAGTACTATGGATAAATACTTCACCCATAAATTATTATTAATTTTTATCAAAAACTATAGAGGGGGGAGAGGATTAAAATTTTGATGAAATATGAACAGTGGAGTTTTTGAAAAATCATAACTATTGTATATATAAAAGGATGAAAAAAACGGAACAATTTTCTTGAATTTTACAAAATTGTTCCTTTTTGTATCACTTATTTTATTTGACATACAACACATATTTTTTAAACATTTGTTTTTATACCAAATAAATTTGCTTCGAGTACGGAACCATCGATTTCAGTGCGAGTGTAACTCGCACTTGTCCGATTTTTTTATTTTAAAGTTGTAACGACTGAAGAAATAAATTCAAGGAAATAGTCCACTTTTTCCACTTCTTATCATGTTTATTAAATTATTTCTATAATCTACACCTAAAAATATGTGAAAATAATAAATTTGAAGCCCTTTAGATAAAATTTTTTTCGTTATTGGGAGAAAATTCATTCATTCAAAATTCAAGTGAATTTCTGTTATGGGAGTCATAAGGAATAAAAAAAAAATTTAAGGCCAGGTCCAAGTGAGGCAGCGCCATCTACATTGATACTAAAATTTTGGAAAATTTTCAACAGCCTTTTCTTGAAAACAAGAAGGTAAAATGCTTTTTCCTTTATGGATAATTGATTATTGGCAAGATATACACCGGCTAAAACTTTTTTTGAGTTAAAATAATAAAAAAAATTTCATGTCAATAAATTAAATATGAGCACTTTTTTCACAAAAACTGTAACAGTACTTTCTCAGAAATTACAATCAAAAATGCAATTTCCATTTGGAAAATTAATAAACGCTAAAAAATACACGGCCTAAGATTTACCAATCACGAAAATAAGAAAAAAAAAGTATTTTAACATAACATATTTTACTCATTATGACAGCCGTTTGGCAGGTTATATATGTCACCAGACGTTTCGCAGTTTTGCCGAAAGGAGGAGATTGGCGCTGTTGCTAACCACCTGAAATACATAATCTACCAAAGGGCTGTCACAATCAGTAAAGCAGTATCAATATGTTAAATATTTAATAAAATTTTTTTTGTTATTTTCGTGATTGGTAAATCTTAGGTCGTGTATTTTTTAGCGTTTATTAATTTTCCAAATGGAAATTGCATTTTTGATTGTAATTTCTGAGAAAGTACTGTTACAGTTTTTGTGAAAAAAGTGCTCATATTTAATTTATTGACATGAAATTTTTTTTATTATTTTAACTCAAAAAAAGTTTTAGCTGGTGTATATCTTGCCAATAATCAATTATCCATAAAGGAAAAAGCATTTTACCTTCTTGTTTTTAAGAAAAGGCTGTTGAAAATTTTTCAAAATTTTAATTTCAATGTAGATGGCGCTGCCTCACTTGGACCTGGCCTTAAGGAAATTTGGGAATCTTGGGGTAAATGGGGACAGTCAGTTTCATGCGTTTAAAACTTACTAAATTTTTTTCTGCTACATAAAATTAATCCTGAGAATGTAAATAACAACATAAAAAAATAATACCTCAAATATATATCTTTTAAAGGAAGAAACTTACGTAATTTGTGAAAAATAGTGATTTTGTCCCCATTTACCCTAACTGACCCTATATGATTTCAAAAGGTATTTTCATGCTCTTTCGAAGGGTGCAAAATTTTTTTTTTTTAAATTTCAAATTTACCCCTTTTTAGAAAATCAAAAATATTTTTGACTTTTTATTAATAAAGGACAATTTTTATTTCTTTTTTTACCCCTAAAAATTAAGCTTATAATGTATGCTTTTAATAAACAAAAAAAATTTTTCTGTTTTCAAAATATTAATTAATTAATTAATGTAAATAAAAAATGAAATATTTTACGAACAAATAAAGTTACCGTAATTCTTAACTTACCTATTGAAAGTTAACGTAATTCCGCATTCAACGAGCCCTATTTTTTTTTATTGATGAAAATATTAAGATTTGATTTATTTTTATGAAAAAAATTTATATTTTATTTCATATATGTATATATATATTTTTTTTTCATTGTCATTAATATAATTAATTTTAAAAGGGATGAATGTAAGGAACAAGTGCATCAATTTTCCGGGCCAAAATTCAAGAAATTCAACACCAGACAAGAAGCGAATGATTTTGTGAACGCATATGGAAATTCTTCAAAAAATACTAACAAAAATTCATATTAGTAAGATATGTTTTGTTTTGTATAATTTTTTTAAAATTGTTTTGTATTGAATACAATTATTGTTTTTGAAAATTTTTAAATAGTTTTTTTTTCATAAACAGTTAAAATGTTTTTTTGATTTTTCTTTAGTAAACGCGATGTTCCAAGCACAAGTGTAAAGCGACCTTTTGAACCAAATTTATATGAAAATCGAGAAGAAAAGCGAAGGAAAACTGATTCAATTAATTATGCCTCTTCTTCAAAGGTATATTTGATAAATAAAAAAAAAAAATTTATTTTAACAAAATAAGACAAAAATTCTTTTATAACGAATTTATATTGAACATAATTTTTTAGGTCATCGAATTTTTATTTTATATCACATTATTTCTATTTACTCAACTTTATATTTAAACAAAATTTTCAATAGGGACGCATGAATATGTTTCCAAAAATCATTAGTTAGAATTTTCATTTTTTGCAATTTCATTTGTCATAATTATTTTTGAGCCGAATTTTTATTTGCTCGAATTTTCATTTAACATATTATAGCCATTTTAAAGAATTTTCATTGGGTAGAATTTCATTGCATAGAATTTTCATTTGTCCGAAATTGCAAATGACAGAACAAACAATCGACAGAAAGATTTTGGCGCGATTTTTAAAATCAACCAATCAAAAATTATCCATAAAATTGTGATTGGTTGATTTTAAAAATCGCGCCAAAATCTTTCTGTCGATTGTTTGTTCTGTCATTTGCAATTTCGGACAAATGAAAATTCTATGCAATGAAATTCTACCCAATAAAAATTCTTTAAAATGCCTATTACAGTTAAATGAAAATTCGATTAAATAAAATATCTAACAATTAAAAATTCGAACAAATAACAATTCTGTGAAGTGAATTTTCGTTTATAGAAAAATTCTATAACATAGAAAATCGTTTTGATGAAAATTCTGCAAAATATATATACTAATTCGAACAAATAAAAATTCGGCTCAAAAATAATTATGACAAATGAAATTCCATAAAATGAAAATTCTAACTAATGATTTTTAGAATATATTCATTCGTCCCTTCCAATATACATTCATCGAATATTATTCATTTTTGCGAATTTTTATTTGTACCGATTAAAAAAACCGGTAAAAAGATTTCAATATGAATTTTAGATCATTTTTTTTAGAGCGCATCACAAATAAATATCTTTTTTTTTCAATAAAAAAATGAAACGCTAAACAAATGAAAATTTAATATAAATAAATTTGCAAATATAGATTGAAACACACGGATTAGAAAAAGATGAAAATGGTTTCGTGAATGTTTATACTGATGGAGCGTGTTCTCAAAATGGAAAAAGAAAAGCAAGGGCAGGAATTGGAGTTTGGTTCTCTGACGATCATCCATTGTATGTAATTTGTTTTTTCAATTTTGTTTTCTCTATTATTTTATTCCAAGTACTTAAAAATTAGTTACAATTATTATTTTTGAAAAAATTATTTTTAACATTTGTCCATGTTTTCTAGGTAATAATAATAAATATTAATTTTTCATTTAACATAATTTAAAAGCCACTAAATTTTTTATTTTTTAATTAATTTTTAATTGAAATTTTTTTTTTTTATAACCAATTGTTGATAATTATTATTTTCTTTTTAATTTGTTTATTTTAAAGGAATGTTTCTCGAGCTGTTGTTGGTCGACAAACTAATAACATGGCAGAGATTCAAGCTGTGACTATTGCTGCGAGACAAGCTCAAAAGGCGGGAATTAAAAAATTAAAAATTAATACTGACTCACAATTTCTCATTAATTGTAAAACAAAATGGATGAAAAGTTGGAAAGCCAAAGGATGGAAAACCGCTGACGGACGACCTGTGATTAATAAAGAGGAACTTTTAGAAATGGAAGCTGCAATTGCTCCACTTCAAGTTTCTTGGGTACTTGGCTTCTTTAAAAAAAAAAAAAAATACTATTTTATTAAAACTTTTTTTTGCATCTTTTTATGAACCATGATAAAAAAAAGAGTGAAAGAACGAAATCATTATTTTTTTATTCTAAAATTCTCGAAAAAAAAAATTCCAAAATTCATTGCTTTTTAATGAACTGTAAAATTATCGTTTTTTTTTTCATTTTGAATTTTATTTTCAGAATCATGTTCGTGGTCATAGAGGAATTTATGGAAATGAAATGGCTGATAAATTAGCAAGAGAAGGAGCTAACAATAAAAATTAAAAAACGTTTTCTAATTTTAAATATGTTTTTTTTCATTGTAATATTTTTTTTTGCGTGAATTGATAACTTACAAAGTTTGTGATAATTATTTTTTCTTTTCCTTTCATGTAATTAAGTTTAAATACTATATTTTTGTACAACGAATTTTTCTTAGTTAAATAAATAGATTAAAGTTGAAGTTTTTGTAAAAAAAAAGAAGTGGATGTCGTTTTATCTAATTTTCCTTTCTGCATTACTATCAATTTTTTTTATTTCAAAATTAATTGAAGAATCGATTTGAAAATATACAAAAAACTTTCTTATATAGTAAAAAATTTTCTCACTGGATGTTCTTTCAATTCGAAAGTTCCCTGCAGACTTTTAATCGGCGAAAGTAGGAAAACATAGATAATGAAAGGTCTCTTCATTTTTAATTAAAAATAAATAAATACGGTGCGCCAGAAGGTGGTTTAAATAAAAATGAATTGGCACTTAAAAATTCTTTTTTTTTATGATTCTTAGATGAATAACAAACATTTCTCAATAGTTTTTAAAATCAGTTTACGTGCCCGATTTAAATAAAATTGTGATTTTATATAAAAACAGTGTTTTATGGGGAATCAGAATTTATTTAATCTAATAAATACTGTAATAAATGATAAAGTAATAACTTATTTTCAATTTTACATATAAATAATTATATTGCTGTAGTGTTTGTGTCCGATTTTAAAAAATTAAATTATAATGTTAAAAGAACGAATTTAAGAGTGACAAAATTTATTTAAGAGAGTCGAATGATCTCTGAAATTTTTTTTGGCAAGAAGAGACCTTTAATTATCGCTCTATAAAAACGGCACTAAACGTGAAAATGATAAACATTGATTTTAAAATACTTTCTTCTCAAAAGATGGACACTTTTTACAAAAGCAGCTAGAGATCCTTATCTTATATAAATTTCCTAAATCCGAAAGATTATACGAATCCATACAAAAACACGATTGCAAAACGAAAAGTAATATAATGAGGGGTTCTTTACCTCCTGCCGCCGTCAGATGGCCGCAGCATGCAGGGCGCACAAAGTCGCAGCTGTTATTAGATTACTTTTCTACTTTTTGTTTTGCAACCATGTTTTTCTATGGATTCGTACAGTCTTTTGGATTTAGGAAATTTAGAAAATTATAATCTAAAAAAAAAATTGCAACTCTTAATTGTTTAAAATAATTATTCAACGTTTTACACTTGCAGACACGATAAAACGAATAAATTAATATAAAAATTCTAAATATAGAAAAAAAAACAAAAAGTTAAGATTTATGTGACCATTTTCATTTTCAAAAACACAGATTACAATATTAAAAACGAAAAATTCGCGAGCTTCCTGTTTTTCTATTATCAGATTGTGTTCCTTCGGACTTAACATTCGGCCTTTTTCTATATTCAAAAAGAAAAAGATCTCTTGAGTAGAGAAATTCGACATTTGCATTGTTATTATTATTATTATTATTTTTATTAATATTATTTGTATCCAAACTCTGATGTTTATCATGAATTAAATCTGTACATCCACTTTTCACATTAATATCCTTTGGATTATTGTTATTCGTGGAATTATATTGTTGAAAATTATTTAACATCATTGGTGTATATGATTGACTTTGACCATAAATTTTTCTCTCAAGACATTTTCCAAAATTTTCATTATTATTAATATTTTTTGCTAATAATAATGATGAAATTTCATTATTAACAGTTTCTATCGATGATGATGAATAATCAAGACTAATTTCATCTTGTAAATTATTATTTATAATTTTTTCATTTTCAATTTTAGACTCAATATTTTTAAAACTTGTTTCAGAAATATTTATTGAATTCAAAGAATTGCTGGGAAATTGACGTTTTGGATAATGTACAATTAATCTTGGTGCTTTTTGTATTCTATGTCTACTTTTACTTGAATAATAATGAAAAGCTCTGCACAATATCCAAGGATCTTCCTTTAATTAGAAAATTTGAAAAAAACAAAATACAATTTTTAAAAAATAAATATTAAAATTATTTTTATTCAAATTTAATTTACATTCAATTATAATATTTAATATAAATAAATAATAAAATTTAATGATTTCATTTAATAGATTATTAAAATTATATTTCTTTCAAAAAAAAATTTTCTAATTTTAATATTGAAAATAATGTAATTTAAAAAAAAACAGTAATAAATCTACTTACGAGTAAATAATGAAATTGAATGAAAAATGGAAGAACAATCACAATAGTTAAAATCAAAGTACTTAGTTCCATCGTTTTTATAACATGAAAATGTTGAAAATTTCATTTTTAAAAATGTTGAATTTTTACTATTTTTTTAATGAAAAAAAAACTGCATCCATTTGGACGATTTATTGACATTTCAAAAGTTTTATTTACTATTTTTTAAACAAATTTTGACAAGTAATAATAATCTGAACATTTCTTTATTCATAGCTAGTAACTCAATTGTTTTTTTCTTCCTTTTTCTTTAAAAAAAAAAATAATAATAAACTTCGACATTCTGAAAAAACTGTGTCAAACCAAAAATATCTAACAGTAAAAAAATTCTATTTATGATTTAAAATTATTTCATACGACTTATCAAAATTTAGATAAAGATTTAGAAAATTTTTGATAAGTCGTATGAAATAATATTTTAACTTTTATTCAAAAAGTTTCAATACAATCTAATTTTATTTAATAGAATAATTTTGTTAAATAAGAATTTTTTTATATTTATAGAAATTCTTTTAATTTGGAAATTCTGTTAATAAAAATACTTTTAAGTGAATATTCGGAAACATAGAAATTCAACAAAAAAAACAAATTCTGATAAATAAAAATTCTTTTTTATGAAAATTTTTCTAAATATAAATTTTGTTAAATAAAAATAGTAATATTTGAAAAATCGAAATATTAGAAAATCTGCTTTATCATAGTTCAGTTAAATAATTAAATATTTATAAGAGGCATTCTCTGAGTAATAAAAAAAATTATGGATGACCCAAGGCATAAGAGGCATTCTCTGAGTAATAAAAAAAATTATGGATGACCCAAGGATGGGGTAGGAAATAGTTTTGGGTACCTTTTTAAAAAAACTAAAAAAGATTTAGGCGCATTAGTATTGCTTCCTTATGGAGGAAGCATTGTAATATCTAAATTTTCCAAATAAAAATTAAATTAAATAATTAAAATAATAAAAATTATTATTAATTATTTTATAATTATGTTTAATAAAACTCTAAATTCTCTAAAAATCAATTCTATTTATTATTTTTCGTTATTATTTATACGCTTTTTTCTTAGTTCAGAATAAAATTTTGTTCAGAATAAATCATGTTAGGTATGAAAAAATTCGCGCGGTCGCGTTTATTTTTTATTTATTTTTGTAAAATTTACAATAATTAATAAAATTTTGTACAGTTTTTAAAAATAATTTATTCATAACTATTTTAATAATATATCATTTAATATTTAATAATATTATTATATATTTTTTAATATTTAAATATATAATTGAAATATGTTTTAAAAATCTATTTTAATCATTATTAATATAAGAATTTTTGCATACATTTATATGCTTTTCTTTGTGCACTGTCATATAATTTTTTATTACAGTGCCTCAATCTTATATGTGTTTTTGTACGCACTAGACATATAATAATACTTTTACGTCCAATTACCCAATGAGCTCACTCATAGTCAAGTCAGCTGATTTATTCAATATGGCCGCAACTGGAGTATGCGCCAGCTTGTGAATATTTGGAACCGACTTTTGCGAGACTTCTACGTTGTTGGATCATGTACTACATTTTCTTAAATATCTCATATACTATAAGAGCTAAAGGGATAATTTTTTTTTAAATTGTAGGTCTTACTGGCGGACAAATATAAAGAGTACTTTGAGCCATATTAATAAAAATTAACTATTTTTTTTCATTTTAAAATTTTTGAACAATCGTTTTTTGTCCATAACTTTAAAAAAATGTTATGGAGCATTTACACCTTTGGTAAAAAAAAATGTTTACTTTGATTTTCCGAAATGCAAACATCTGATTGGTTGTCCATTATCAATCAGATTGTGAACAACCAATCAGATTTGTGTACTTCGGAAAAAGCAAAATAAAATTTTTTTTTACTAAAGGTGTAAATGCTCCATTTGGACACCTATTAGGTATTTCACTTTCAAATATGGCTGCCCGATCAGCTGGAAGCCTGGAGGGACAACAAATAATTTTATTATAGTCCATCTACAGTTGGTAACGTTGAAAACTTCAAAAACTTAACCTCAAAATCACTTGTTTGACAGTTCTTTATTGTTTTTTTCGTTTGTTGTCCCTCCAGGCATCGACGTCATCAGCCTCTGACGTCACAAGGTAAAATGCCTAATTGGGATCGGCTAAACTGCAATACGCCATCTGGTGGGGACCCATTCTCTCCCTCTATTTCTTTCTTTGTCTCTCTTCAATTAATAGGTTAGAAAGAGTAGAAAAAACAAAATGGAGGGAGAGAATGGGTCAAAGTTACTAGATTGTTACTAGACCACCGTTACCAATGAATATTTTTCTTTAATTTTGTAGAGTTTTTTAAGACGCATCTTTTGAGATGTTAGCGAACATTCTACTGATTTTCTATCCAAAATTATTAAATTTTTAATAATTAAAGAAAAACTTTTTTGCCCATATAACATTTGTATTAAAAATTGTAAAGTTGGAAAACAGGGATAAGAGGAACATAAACCAAACTTTTTGTTCGCGATTGGTATCAATGCTTTGATGACGTCACTGCGCTTGCGAACCAACGCGCGTTAGTCACGCAACGCAAACATTTAGGAACATATTGGCACGGTCGTATATACAGGTCCGGAATCTCATAATGGTTCGCAGGGTCGTGCGTTGAAGCCCCTCCGATAGGTGGCTACGTGTCGAAGAGTCTATGGTTGGAGTGTAAACAAACGAACATAACCTATAAAAATATAATTTTTCGTGCGGTGTATTTTTTGTTTTTAATTTTAAAATGCCTTCCGTTTGTGTAGTTCCAAAATGTGACAGTAAAACAGAAAGAAAAAGTGTTTCGTGTTTTCATGTGCCGCAAGATGACAAAATAAGACAAAAATGGCAGCAAGCAATACCTGGGGTTTTACGTTTAAGATCTGCAATGTCTGTGTGTGAATTGCATTTCAAAGAAGAAGAAATTATTAGAAAAGTACAAACATATAATCAAGAAGACAACATTATTTATGAAAAAAATTTAATAAAGCCGCGTTTACGTTTGGGAGCAGTGCCCTCGATTTTTAACAATAATAATAAGACTCAAAATGACGTAGACAAAAACGGTACGTTTTTATATTTTTTAAAAAGAATAATGTGAAATAATGTTTATGGTATTCATTTTTTTATTTAATTAATTATATGTTGAATAGAAAGTAAAATATACAAGCGTTATTCAAATTATACTTCGTTCAGTACAACTATTATTATGTATGACTTGTTATAATTTTTTAAAATGTTTCATAAAGTTTGATCTACTTTTGAAGAGCAAATATTTTATAAAGATTTAATATTTTTGATTTTTAAATATTAACGTTTTTGGCAGAATACATTATATTTATTGCAATTTAAAATTTATAAATTAAGTTTTCAAAATCAGAAGTTTGATGTGCACAGAATATTATTTAAAATTAAATTTTAATTTTAGTAGTTATTTTTTTAAATACCACAATTTTTAAAGAAATAAAGTAAATATAAATAAATATATGCTTTAAGTATTAGTATTGTGTACAATATTTTCTATTTTCCATTTTTTTTAGGAAATGCACCACTTACATCGAATAATACGTCGACAAATTCAAATTTAATTCATGTTGAAGATTATTTCTACGATAATAAAGAAAATGTATCAGATAATGTCGGTTATACAGTTGATCCGGATTATGCGGTTCATACGGTTCAATTCAGTTCTGCTGTAACTTTTGATTTGTGTTCACAAAGTACGTAATTAAGAATTATTTATTGAAAGATTAATTATTATTTTTTATGTTTTGAATTTGCTTATTGTATTTTAGAAATATAATTTCGTAATTGTTTTTTGTAGGTAGTGAATTTTCTGAAGATGAACCATGTAGCATAGATATACCTAAGCCGTGGAGTGTACTTAAATCTCAGACAGGAAAAGAAGAAAGTTTGTTATTTGTATGCTTTGTTAACAAAGAAAATGTTAAAACACATACATTTGAGAAGGTTGTTGTGATGAGTAAAAATAGAGAATTGCAATACGAAGTACATTCAAATACTGTGAATGCCGAAATGTTTGAATTACCGAAAAAAGTAGATAATGTTAAAAATTTGCCACAAATTCTACAAGGGTTCAAAAAATTTTGTGCTTGTGAAGGAATAAATATAAACGATGTTGATTGTACATCAAACTTGTTAAATTGTAATAATTACAATCTTTCGGGATGTCGGTCAAAAAATTGTTCTTTATTATCGCTAAACTACAGTAAATGTCGTGATTGTAAAAAATTGTCAAAACTTTTGTCGCAGCAAAAACGAAGATTAAAAAAACTAAGCAATAATGAGGAGATTAAAAAATTAAAACCTTCGAGTCAAATAAAACTAAAAGCACTTCAGAGGAAAAATCAAAGGAGAAGAAAAGAATTAATTCGTTTAAAATACAGATTACATGTTTTAGAGAAATCTCTCGAGAAAAATCAATGTAATATTGCTAACATTAATGAAAATGATTTTGATAAAAATTCCTCATCTTTAAATATGTCTCAAAATCAGAAGATGATAGTGAAAGAAATTATTCGTGCTGCTAAATACACAAATCCAAAGGGTCGACGTTATTCAGACGATTTTATAATGCTGTGTTTACTTATGAATATAAGATCTCCTTCATTTTATGAATTTTTAAGAAAAAATGATATTCTTCCATTACCGTGTTCCAAAACTGTACGAGATTATTTATCAATGATTAGAACTAAATGTGGCTTTGACGACGGCTTCTTTAAACTTCTCGAGAAATCATTTAAAGGAAAGGATCCAATGAAGCGCCATGGTATATTAATTCTAGATGAAATACATTTAAGGAAATCGATTTCTGTTTCGTCGAAAGATTTAACATACTCTGGATTAACTGATTTTGGTGAAAATAATAAAAAGGGTGAAAATCTTGACGCCGTAGCAACTCATGGTCTCGTTCTCATGTTCCAATCTCTAACTGAAAAATATTCTCAGCCCATTGCTGTTTTTGCCTCAAAAAACTCTGTTCATGGAAATGAATTGGCGAAACTCGTCGTGCAATCAATCTACTATTTAGAAAATTGTGGGGCGAAAATTCATGGGATTCTCGGAGATGGTGCTTCAACTAATGATAAAATGTGGAAACTATTGAATATTAAATCTTCACGAGAAGATACAAAATGTTGGTTTACACATCCTTGTGATGAAAATAGAAAAGTATTTATGTTTTCGGATGCACCGCATTTAATTAAATGTATTAGAAATAGACTGTACAGTAATAATCTTCGTGTGAGTTTTTTTTTTTACAATTTTAGTGTATTTTTTTTAAATTTTGTTGTTTATTATAACGCATATTTAAATTCAATTTTTTACCTTCTTTTTTAGATTCATCCTGATGAAAATGAAATAAAGTGGGATTATTTTCTACATCTATTTCATGTCGATAGTAATCACGAGGCCAGAGTTCGTGCGTGCCCTAAATTAACTAAAAGACATATTAAATTAGATCCTCAAGGACTAATGCGTGTTCGATATGCAACTCAAGTACATATTTATGAAAATATTCTATTACCAATAATAATAATAATTCCCTAGTTTATTTGAAATATTCAAGTTATTTACTTCTTTTCAGATTTTTAGCGATTCAGTAGCAAAAGGTTTGATATTTTATCAAATGCACCAATATCCTCAGTTTGAAGGTTGTGAAGATACAGCTAATTTTTGCATGAAAATGAATGAAATGTTTGATGCACTCAATCGGCATCAACCAAATCAAGGTCTTACACCTAATTCTAAAGATTTTAAGGTATTGTACTTCATTTTCTATTTTCATGAAAAAATTACTTTTTCATTCGTTTTCTATTATTTTTGTTTATTAAGAATTATTTTCAAAGTCATTTCCATAATATTTTATAAAGGTGTTGCAAAATATTCTTCTGTGGCTAAACAATTGGGAGATAAATCTTGAAAATGGTCTAATAGATGAAAGTAATTACCTAACGTTAGAAACAGCAGGAAGATTACGAGTAACAATTATGTCAACACTGACTATGTGTCACTATTTAATTGACAAATTTGATTTTTCTTATCTTCTAACCGGAAAAGTTAATCAAGACAATCTAGAGGTACTTTTAGTTATTTTTTCTGATTCAAATATACTATATATTCATTGCTTTGTGGATAAATGTCTTTTCTTTAGAAATTCTTTGGCACAATTCGATTGGCAGCTGGATCCAATGAGCATCCCACATGTCCAACGTTTTTGCAGTTATACAAGTTGTTGGCTGCATACAGTATATTAAAGCCGCCTAGATATGGAAATTGTTTAGTGACTGAGCAGAAAGTTCAAAATCTTATCACAATTTCAGAAATTAAAGAAATTTTTGAAAAGTCTCATTCCAAATCGACATCACTGTTAAACAGTATTAAAAACAAACTGGACAGTCTAATTGAGGAAGACACCTGGGAAGTTGACGAAGTCATTGAACATGACTATTCAATTAGACCAGTTATAGACTGCATTATTTATTACACCACAGGTTTTAAAGATTCTTTATTAACTAACATTTATTAATGTTTTTGTGTTTTGTGTATATTTGTTTTGCATTTTTCTAACGCTTTTTCTAATATTTTCTAACATATTTCGTACAATCACTTTATGATAATAACTATTACAATATTATTAATTATTTATTAAGATATATCTGTAGTTATGATTATTTATACATATATTTATTTCAGCCTATTGGTCCAAAAAAGGAATTGGTTTACATTTTACAGCAACTTAACTGAGGCACAGATGTTATTTCATCAATATTCTACCGATGTAAACAGTTTTTTTTAATTCAATTTTTTATTGATTATATACAATAAAAATGTGCTTGTCCATATTTCCTTTAAGCAAAAATAAAAAAAAAATATTTGAATTTAAATATATTGCATGAAATTAAAAAGTAGTTCTTGTATTTTTTAATTAGAAGTAGTTTGTGATCGTCCACAGAAAAGCCAATTAAAACTTAATTTTTTAAAATAAAATTTATCATTTTAATTTTAACATTTATATTTCATTTTTAGGATATCTTTGTCGACAAATTTTGAAGAAAAAAGACTACAGTCAATGTGACTCTTGTATTAAAGCTCTCACATTTTGCGATAAAAAGTCTGCAGTCAGCAACCTGGTAGAGTTAAAAGATCAGGGTAGATTAATTCATCCCAATTACCATTTTTTTAATCTCATTTGTTTCACAGAGACAGTTTTTCGCAAATACGCTAACCAGCAACACGTCTTTGATAAGGTTATTGATGAAGTTACAGACAATTATAAATTCACTTTTCCCTGTAAACAACATGCTTCCAGCATTTTAACTTATGCCTTATTTTATTATATACGTTTAAGAATGTGCCAATTTGCGTTTCAGTTCAATCAAACTCTGAAAAAAACATCTTCTATCAAAAGAAAACTTTCCAAATTAGAAAGCAGTTAAAATTCTATACAAATAAGAGTCTAATTTTTTAAGAAAATGTAAATTATGTTTATGTCTCGTTAAAAGCTGTAAAAAATATTTTGCAAATTATAAAACTTTCGTTTTTCAAATCAAAGGTAGTTTTCTTTTCCTTAAAACAAGGCTTCAGCTGCGCTTATCAGTGTTTAATAATACGTTATATTATATACAATCGGTCAATATTTTATGTTTTACAAAAGCCAAAGAAATATTGTCACTTTTATACAAACCGAAGTAATCTTCGTAATTATGTCAATTTAAAAAACAAAACAAAAACACAATCAATATTTTATGGATTATTTCAATACAGGAAGAGTATTAATTTTTTGAAAAAGAAATCATTTTTACAATAATAAGTCAACTATAAAAACAAAAATATTTGTACAATTCTAGCATTTATGCACTTATAAAATCGCTTATTTATTTCTCCACTATCAAAACACTTTTTTTAATAATTTTGTAAATATACAAGTCGAAATTATGAATCAACTCAAAAAATTTTTTAGTGTATATACCAAAAATTGAGGTTATGTTCGTTTGTTTACACTCCAACCATAGACTCTTCGACAAATACGCCCTCGGGCTTCACGCGGCGACCCTGCGAACCATTATGAGATTCCGGACCTGTATATACGACCGTGCATATTGGAGAAAGGCCTTTAGATAGTTGACCCATCCCTGACCAATACACAAGACTTTTTTCATATTTCAGATCTTCTAGATTAGTTCCATTTCACATACATACCCATCACTGCATAAAAAATTTATTTTAGATATTCCCTTCACACGATTTTTTTTAACCAATCTAAAATTTCTCTGAATTGTTCTGAAAAAAAAAATCGTCAACGAAATTCTCATCGAAAAGAAAGTTGTAAATTTCTTTTCTCAAATATCAACTTATTCTAAAAGTAAGTTATACTTTTATTATTAGCTTTTTGTTATTAGTTAGAATATTTTATACTTTTTCAAATAAAGCAAATAACAATTATTTTTTCTTGTGATTTTTTTCCCTTTTCTTAAAATTACAATATGTGACTGTTATGTCTGTTAATGTTAATTCTTAATTTGTCCGTAACTTTTCTTGTAAAATACTGAATGGATTCAGCTAAAATTTTGAGGAGGAATTTAAAACATGATAAATAATGGTTGTGAAGTGCGAAAATGTTGTTATATTGTTAAATAAATATAATGAAAGGCATAAAATTTTTTTAATCTGTCACTCCTAACCCTACATTTTTTTTAACTATTTTCAAGTGTTTTATAATAATTATTTAACAATATATCAACAATTTCACACTTGAAAACCATTCCTTATTAAATTTTGAACTTAGTTCGCCTTTTTGTATCAGTCATTTTTAATTTTGGAAAACTGACGTTTCAATTCAAAATTTTTTTTGTCACTCAAACAAAACATTTTTTTTTTCGATTAATGCGTGTTTTTTAAGTAAGAAAATCATATTTAAAATTTTTTTCCCTCGTGCAATTTTTTTCTAACAGCAAATTATGTATTTTCGAAGTGTGACGTCACTTAAATTCACCGATAGAGAAAGCAGTTAATCCAAATGTAAAAAATAAATCACCATTTGAAAGATAATTAAATTACCTCTCAAACAATTGGTCAACCATTAAAATCCATTCAAAATTGTCAGAGTTACAGTCGATCAAAGTTCAAATTTCAAGCAAATTTTAATGATTTTTAAACATTCGTCTAACTTTCACTAATTTTTTCAAAGTCAAACAATCAAAAAAATGCAAGTTTTAAATTTTTTATTAATAGTATATTTATTTACGAAACTTTTAAGCCTTTATAGGCCTCGATCGGATAAAAAATGACAATTCTACACTAGATTTATTGAACAAAGTACTTTTTCACTTTTAATATATTTTCAAGTGATTTCGATCTATATCAATTTGTATAAAACTAAGTTAAGCGAAGCTCATCAAAATGAGTACTCGGGGGTTTAAGGGGTCGCTGATTACGAATTCGAGGTCAGTTTTTGAAAATTCATTTCTACATATTAAAATTTTGTCCGCCATATTAGATCCGCCATTTTGAATTTTCAAAAACTGACCGCGAATTCGTAATCAGCGACCCCGAAAACCCCTGAGTACTCATTTTGGTGAGCTTCGCTTAACTTAGTTAAAACTTCAAAATATCACTACTTTGTAGGAATAAATTTGGTAGGGTCAGCCGGGTTAAATCCGAACGCTAATTATTTCAGCTTAATTAAAATTTAAAAAAATAAGTTAGACATGAGAATTTTTACCTCAGATTCTCTTCAAGAGATTCTAAGTATTATCCCATTTTTCGTTTGTTAATTAGCAACAGCATAAACAAAGATAACGAGTATTGCAAAAAAGATTGAAAATCAAAGATGACACTCTTTCAGTATTTTGTCTCGTATTTGAAGAAAAAGAAGCTAAAAATTCATTTTATTATTTATAATTATTTGTTATGAACACTAGAACAGAAATTATTTTTCATTTTTGCCTTCTGTAAAATTTTATTAATAATATCAGACCGTTCGTATATTTACCCCGGAAAATTGGAAAACCGGGGTAAATCCGAACGGTATTTTCAATAATTTTTTCTTATATCAAAAATTGTTTTTATTTGATTACACTATTATTTTAACATTATAAAAGTACATAGAAAAAAGTTTTTCTTTCTATATGTATCCTCGTTAGTAATTAATAAGCAGAAACTTAATCTCTGTTCTCTCGAAGGAGTGTTCCACTTTTTTTGCCAAATGGTTTGTTGAAAAAAAGTTTTTCACGATCTTAAAAAAAATTTGGCATTCTAGGGTTTTTGGGGTCGCTGATTACCAATTTCAAGTCAGTTTTTCAAAATTCAAAATGGCGGACGAGAATTAAAAAATTCATTGGATTCGCTCGAAAATTGTTACTCGGGGGGTTTCAGGGTCGCTGATTACGAATTTGGAGTTGGCAAATTTCATCATTTTTAAAAATAAGTTTTAGGAAAGTCCGCTATTTTGAATTTAAAAAATTTGACTATTATTTTTGTATTAACATTCAATCACTCCAAAATACTTTCTGTAGCAAGTTTTGCAAAAATCCGTTATAACTTGATAAAGTTATTGAAGATTTTAATTGTGTAATGCATTTTAATTTTTAACCTGTTTGATTTTTGTATTTATATATGATGCATTATTACATAATAGGTTTATTATTGTATTTTTTTTTGAGTTTTTATATTAGTTTAACAATTGCAATACTTTAAATTTATTTTCCCTAAGATTTTTCTGAAATACAGTGCGGCGTTCGTATTTACCCCGGTATTTTAGGAAAGTTGCAAAGTATCGAGGTAAATACGAACGCTAAGTTTCCTGCGATTGTAATTTATCAAAACAATTTTGCTACCCCATAAAATTGTTCTATGGAAGTAAAGTAACAACTTCATGCACCAGAATACCGGAAGTATTGTCTTTTAAAAGAAAAAACTTATGTTATTGTTGAAACTTACTAAAAGCGTTCGGATTTACCCCGCGGCTGACCCCTATACCTAATAAATGTAAGTTAATTTATTATTGATTGATAATATAAAATAAAAAAAGAAAATTAAAATAAAAGCAATATCAACGCTGTTCAACAAAATTCTGGAGATTAACAGTAACATTGTTGTAAAAAATAATTTTTAGATGCCGAATATAATTTTACAAAGTACTGAAGGCGAAACTTTTGAAGTGGACGTTGAGGTAGTAAAATGTTCTATTACTATAAAAAACATGTTGGAAAATTTAGGTGAGGATGATGATGAAAAAGAAATTGTTCCTTTGATTAATGTCAACTCGGCAATATTAAAAAAAATTATTCAATGGGCAACTTATCACAAGGAGAATCCTATTCCACTTGTTGACGATGATGAAAACACAGAGAAAGGATCAGACAATATTAGTTCATGGGACGCAGAATTTCTAAAGGTAACATTTTACATATCCTAATTTCACGGAATTCGTAATCCATTTTTATCGTGTAACTATATTGCGGTCCATTTTAATTTTATTTATTTCTTATTTTATGGTAAATCAATAACTAATTATTACGACAGAGTTGCCATAGGTTCAGGAAAATCATGAAAAAGTCAGGCAATTTTATGAAAAGTATTGGAAAAATATCAAAATTTCTAAAAATGCTACTAAAATTATAATTTTTGAAATTTTTCAATTCAAAATTTTGCTTCTAAAATTCCCTTAATAAGATGATTTCACAAAAATATTTTCAACAATTTTTCTTTTTAAACCACCGAATTAAACTGAGACAAATTTTCAAGATTTCACAATTCAGTTTCAGAACAAATTTTCAAAAATAATTTCAAGGTACATTTAAAAAAAAAAGAAAAATTTTCAAGTCTGATTTATGCACATTATTCGAATTTAGAATTTTGGAAAATATTTAATAGAATTAAATTTTCGAAGAATTTTATTAAAATTGAAAAGAAAATTAATTTTTAAATGAAAACTTGTGAAATAATTAAAATTTCAGAAGATTTTTAATTAAAATTTTAAAAATAATTAAATTTAAAAGAGTTTGATTTGAAATTATTAGAAGTAATTGAATTTCAGGAGATTTTGAAATAAAACTTTTATAAAAAAAATTAATGAATTTTTTTTACAAATTTCAGACAATGATTGAATTTTAGAGAATATTCTACTGAAATGTGTTCTAAAAAATTAAATTTTGAGGGAGTTACAGTTAAGATTTTATAGAAATAATTGCATTTATTGAGATTTCAAAAATTATAATTTTTTTTGAAAATATAAACATTAATTAAAAACCGAGTTAAATAAATTTAATTTTTTGAGAAATTGTATTTAAAACTGTTGAGATAATTAATTAAACAAAGAATTATATAAAAATTTTAAAATTTGGAAAAAAAATTTTCAATTGAATTAACATTCAATTATTCAATTGCTAATGATTTAAATGAAAATTTTCGTAAATTGAAATTTCTGTAGATATTTTATAAGCTTTAAACAATAATTAAACTTTGCAGAATTTTTAATTGAAAAACATTTTAAAACATTTAATTTTCGAAAATTCTGATTAAAATTATTAAAATTAAATTATTTAACAAAGAATTTTAGAAAAAAATTTAGAAATAATTATTTTTTTAGAAGAGTTGGAGTTAAAATTTTTAGAAATAATAATAGAATTTCAAGAGATTATTAATTAAAACTTTCATTTTGAATTGGTGAAATTTTTTTTGAAAAGCTTTAGACAATAATTAAATTTTAATGAATTTTCAATTGAAAACTGTTTTTTAATCATGTAATTTTCGAAGAATTTGTTTTAAATTATTGAAAATAATTGATATTGCAAACAATTTAAGTTAATAAATTTTTTTAATAATTCAATTTTAAAATATAAAAAAATTCGAATTAGTCGTGCAATCCGAGGCCTTGTTATTGAAAACCTCTTGAAATATTTTCATTAGGGTCAGAGATAAAATTTAAATTTTGACTGTAAATCAGGGAGAAGTTAGAGAAAAACAAAATAATATTTTTTTTGTGTCAAACCTGTACGTGTAACCACTTGATTTTTCTTCTTTTTCTAAACAGTGAAATTCAAATTTTTTTTTTTTTTCATCTGTTAGCAGATCGATCATGGAACTCTCTTCGAACTGATTTTAGCGGCGAATTTTTTAGATATCAAAGAATTGCTTGACATTGCCTGCAAATCAGTTGCCAATATGATTAAAGGCCGAACGCCAGATGAAATCCGCAATGTTTTTGGAATAAAAAACACTTTTTCACCTCCAGAGAAAGAACAAGTTTTCAAAGAAACTGAATAAGTTCTACTGTAATTATCTAAAGAATTATTTAAAAAAAAATTTATTTTTTTAAAAAAAAGTCTCTAAAATATTTCGACATTAAGATAAAATATATTTGTGTAGAATTTATTTATTTTCATATTAAATGTAATAATACTAAAGCTATGAATGTTCAAAATGAATTAAAATATTTTTCACTGTAAGTTCAAATTATATTATAAATTTATATATTTACTTTTAGGTTTTTCAAAAAAAAAAAAATAAAATAATATTCACTAAATCATTAACTCAATAAATTTTTACTCTTTTTCCATAGCAATAAAAATGTTAAAAATCATTCACGGTGCGCCAAAAGGAGGTTTAAATAAAAATGAATTGGCACTTTAAAATTCTTTTTGATTATGGTTCTAAGATGAATAAAAAACTTTTCTCAATAAGTTTTAAAATCAGCTTACGTGCTCAATTTAAAACAAATTGAGTTTTAAATATTTAAAAATAGTATTTTATGAGGAACCAGAATTTATTTAATGTATACTTATTTGCGTATAGATAATAGATGTTTTAGATTTGGGTTCATATAAATTTATTAACAATAAAGTTATTTTCTTGTTTCGTTTTTATATTTATGCATTAAGAGTGTCGAACGGTATCTGAAATTCTTTGGCAAGAAGAGAGCTTTAATTATCGCTCTGAACGTGAAATAGTATTGATTTTAAAATACTTTTTTCTCGAAACACGAACACTTTTAACAAAATCAGCCAAAATCCTCATCTTATAAATTTCCTAAATCCAAAAGACTGTACGAATCCATAGAAAAACCATGGTTGCAAAACAAAAAGTAGAAAAGTAATCTAATAACAGCTGCGACTTTGTGCGCCCTGCATGCTGCTGCCATCTGACGGCGGCAGGAGGTAATGAACCCCTCATTATATTACTTTTCGTTTTGCAATCGTGTTTTTGTATGGATTCGTATAATTTTTCGGATTTAGAAAATTTATATAAGATAAAGATCTCTAGCTGCTTTTGTAAAAAATGTCCGTCTTTCGAGAAGAAAGTATTTTAAAATCAATGTTTATCATTTTCACGTTTAGTGCCGTTTTTATAGAGCGATAATTAAAGGTCTCTTCTTGCCAAAAAATTTCAGAGACCATTCGACTCTCTTAAATAAATTTTGTCACTCTTAAAATCGTTCTTTTAACATTATAATTTAATTTTTTAAAATTGGACACAAACACTACAGCAATATAATTATTTATATGTAAAATTGAAAATAAGTCATTATTTTATCATTTATTACAGTATTTATTAGATTAAATAAATTCTGCTTCCTCATAAAACACTGTTTTTATATAAAAACTCAATTTTATTTAAATCGGGAACGTAAACTGATTTTAAAAACTATTGAGAAATGTTTTTTATTCATCTAAGAATCATAAACAAAAAGAATTTTTAAGTGCCAATTCATTTTTATTTAAACCACCTTCTGGCGCACCGTGCATAATCTAAAATTTGACAATTGTTTTTTTTTAATTTTATTAAAAATAATTATTTTTTAGACGAATTTTTAAATTTTCGAATTATCATTTGACAGAATTTCTTTTTATATATATATTATTTTTACTTCACAAAATTTTTGTTTCGCAGAATTTTTAATTTTCTTCACATGACTTTTTATTTAAAAGAATTTTAATTTAAGCGAATTCTAATTTGAAAAAATTCTCATTGAATCGAATATTTTATGTATTTCGAATTTTTAAATGACAGAAATTCCAATTTACCGAATTTTAATTTGTTCGAATTTTTATTTGTACAAATTTTTAATTGATAGAATTTTTAAGAGACGCCGAATTTTCATTTGTCCGAAATTACAAATGGCCGAACAAACTGTCGTCAGAAAGATTTTGGCGCAATTTTGAAAATTGACCAATCACAATTTTCTTTGATAAATTCAAATTGGTCAATTTTTGAAAATTGCACCGAAATCTTTTCTGACAATTGTTTGTTTGGCTATTTGTAATTTCGGACAAATGATAATTCTGCGTCTTAAAAATTCTATCAATTAAAAATTCGTACAAATAAAAATTCGGACAAATTAAAATTCAGTGAATTGGAATTTCTGTTATTTAAAAATTCAAAACACATAAAATTCGATTTAATGAAAAATTATTTAATAAATTATTTTTAATAAAATATTTAAAATAAAAATTCTAATTAATTATCTTTATGGGAAATTCACGTACTCTAAGATTTAATCTTGAAATATTTAATGTTTTTGAATTGGCGTCCAAAAGTTTGAAAATAAGAAAATTTCCGAATTCAGAAGAATAAGACGACCCTCATAACAAAAGGATATCCCTAGGATATCCATATCAATGGTCGATATCCTAGAATGGTCCCCAGGATATCTTGGGATATCCATAGGATATCCAAACCGCCGGTCTGTGGGACATCAACATCCATAGGATATCCACAGGATATCCCTAAGACATCCACAAAATATCTATTGGATATTATATCGCAAGATATCCATGGGATATCCTCAGGATGTCCGTGGGATATTCTTAGGATATTCACGGGATATTTAATATCTCAACATATATTTTTAAAGGTTAAAATTGTTAAGCTAATATAATGAATAATAATATAATAAAAACAAAAATCTTATGAGCTTCTAATTTATTTTAAGTGAAGATTTGAAACGCATTTTTCAAAGTTTTTAAATAAACTCATGCGCACTTAATGTATAATTAATATTAATAGTTATTCGTTATTTGCGGGGAAGAATTTATATTGTTTAAAGCCAATTTATTTTCTGACAATATTAAGCATATGAATAAAGGAATGAATCACGAATGAGAAAAAAATTAGTTAATAATTTTTCAAATTAAACAACTTTCTCGAAAAACAAGTTGCATTTTATTTTATTTATATAAAATTTAATTCACAGAATATTCTCACTCGTAGTCTCATAATGACTTTAAAAACAGTATCCTGAGAATATCTTCTTGACATCCAGAAGATATACTGAGAATATCCTGAAAATATCTGTGGGATATCCTGACGATATCTATGGGATATCCTGATGATATCTGTGGGATATCCTGACGATATCTATGGGATATCTGGAGGACATTTATGAAAGTCTATAGAGATATCCAGAAGATATCCTGTGGACATCCTAAGATATCTATGGGATATCCAAACCGTCGATTTTTTGGATATCCTTAAGAGATCCTTTTGATATCCATAGGACATCCCTATGATATCTGCGGGATATTATCAATATATCCCAAGATATCTTGTGTTATTAGGGGACTTAATTTTTTTTTATTGATTTATTTTTGCTATAATTTTTTTGTTTTATATTTTACTGTTCAGTCGGAAATTAAGTTCTATCGGTAATTTGCCTTTTCAAAAGAAAATTACGATATGTGGGAGATAATAGCCTAAATATTTACATATAAGGTCATTCACATAAAATAAAAATAAAAATAATAAAAAAAAAATAATTGTTAAAATCGAGTAAAAACAAAAAAACAAAAGCCTATGCAAATACAATTAATTTTATGTGTGAACTGAATAAAAGAGAAAAAAAAATGAACGCGACGATTATTATAGATATAATTATTCTTTTTTGTGTCCACTAACTTCCGTATTTTTAACTCACTGCTCTATGGACTTTTCAACAATGTATTTCACCACGTATGGAAAAAAAAAATTACTAAAAAAATTCTTTCAGTCCAATAACGTTGAAAAAGGAAGCAATACAGTTTTTATAGAAATAAATGTTACTCTGCAACGAAAGAAAGGAGCAGCAATATTTTTTTTGGGTACAATCCTAAACCAAATGGAGAAAGAGATTTTTCTACTGGGCACGTGGCTTGCCCCGTAATTATCTGATGTTAAATGGAGTAAGTTTTTTTTTACAAGAAATTGTAAAATTTATCCTACTTGACGGTAATTTAGTATTAAGAATTAAAATTTTTTTTTTTAAATACAATATTCTTAATATTAGATAATAATTTTTTTTTCGGTGAAGGTCCCCCCTCAGTATTATGTCGTTTATTATTTCAAGTGTAATTTACCTTTATGAAGAATAACAGGAAAGTAATGGGAGATATTTTTTAAAGATTAAAGAAAAAAAAACTTTATGACGGTAATATTACGAATAAATTTTCCTTATTTTTATTCAGTTCAAAAAAATTATCTCATCACACTACAGTTAAAAATAAAGTAAGTAAAATAATTGCGAATGTTTTTTAAAATCCATTTTATACTGAAAATTAATATTTAAAAAAAAAATTTTTTTTATGAAAAGTGAACTATTTTCATTAAATAATACTTATTTTAATAATATAAAGCGGAAGTTTTTATTTATATATGCAATCTTCATTTTTTTATCCGTTGACTCTAAAACGTTCTTCCTCTAACGATATTTAATCGCTTTATTATTTTCAATTGGAAAATAAATTAATTTTATTGTTCTAGTTATTTTATTCCATGTAACCATAATATTGTTTATTTTATATCATATTTTGTACCTTATAAAAATTAAATAGTTTTTAATACATTTTTTATGTTATTTATTCTGATTAACAAAATGTGAAAGTAGTGGAAAATTGTAATAACTGTAAATTTTATCATTATCTTATCATAATTTTATGATGTTATATATAAAAACTTTCGTGCCAAAAAATATAAGTGCAGAAAAATGTGACTAATAATAATTCTAGTGAGACTTACATTTTTAATTGATTACATAAGTTTAAAAAATAATTTTTTTATATATATAAATATACATATAAGATTACTTCTATATTGAATCCGAAATTAATCCGGCCTATGTAATCAATATATTTAGAATCTGAAATAGTTACGTTTGATCGATCTGACTTTGGATTAGACCTGATTAATTTCGGATTCACTAGTTATAAAAATCGGTCATATTTCGGATTTAACCGGACTAATTCCGGATGAAAAAAACCTGACTGTTTTGGACTGATTCCACACTGAGAATAATTAATTTAGTGTTTGCAACAAAATTGTTTTGTTAGGCAATTTTGGTTCTTGTAACCAAATTTTGGTTGGCTGAAACAAAGTCGTAGGGTTATCTCAACCAAACATTTGGTTAGGCAAACAAAATTATTTGGTTGAACATCTTTAAATTCCAACCAAAATTTAGTTACGACAACAGTTTGGTCTA